ACACCCTGGGCTTCTCTCCAAAATGTAACTGCTTCTCCATCTTTTCCATCTTCTTTGGAAAGTAGTACAACCACTGGATATTTGCACACCATGCTGAGCCAGAACCAAACAAGACACATTATGGCTTAGCCTGACGTGGGAACCCGGCCCCTATTTCGTGGCTGGCCGAAGAGCATCTCTTATTTTCCAAAAGGCTGTTCTGAGGTCTTGGGAAGTGAAAGCCACGGGTGGGAAGATGTTCTTCCTTGTTCTATAGGTAAGAGGGAAGTTGGTCCCCAAAGACACCTTTTCTGGACCTCAAAGACAGCAGGACTCCTGTAAATTAGAAACTTCATCAGAGCCTCCTCCAGAGAATCCTTGAGGCTAATATGAACGGATCCCCAAGGCAATTTAGTCAGGCTGTGTGGAGTTTTGGATTTGATCTCCAAGGGTGTGAATTATGAACATGGGCTCTGTCTGCCACGCCTGAAATCAGTGGTATCGTTCCACAGGACACAGAGCCGCTTAAGGTGCTGCAGATGAGAGCCGTGTTCATTTGCCCACATGCTCCCGAGCATCATTTGGAGGTTGAATCTGAAGTGCTGTACAGTCTACTAATGCAGTGTTTCTCAGCCTTGGCAGCCTGAAGATGTTTGGACTTTAACTCCTAGGATTCCCCAGCCAGCACGCTGGCTGCGGTATTCTGGGAGTTGAAGTCCACACATCTTCACGTTGCTAAGGCTGAGAAACATTGTGCTAATGGATTCCTCAGGAAGGAATCCGAAGGAGAAAGCTTTCTATATGGGTAACTTCGTGCTCTCACAAATATGGAAAATGTGCTTTAGGTTACCCGGAGAAGGTAAATGTTCTAAATACCCTAAGTGAATGTGCTCTAGAACAGAGAACCCTGGAATTAACAAGAAGAAGGAGATCCTGGGACTAATTGCAAACAGTGACTGTTGGGTGAATAAGGTGAGTTTGTTTTCAGATGCAATCCTCAGCATTTCTGCTCAAGATGTAAACTTAGCATTAAGCAATCTCTGAATACATTAAAAGCACGAACTTGGATAATAAGAGGGTTAAGGCTCTCAAATAACATCTCAGGCTGCAAACTGAGAATTTGCTCACGGCGCTGCTAAGCTGCTTGGCTTCTTTGCTCAAAGTTCAGCCGGAGGTGACATTTGTGCTGTGCGCCTTTTCAAGAAGTGGCTTGAGAACCTGGCAAATGTCCAGGCCAGATAGTCTCTGGAGCCAACCAAGACTAGGAGCAAGTTGATCTCTGCTGGGCTTTGCCCCCTTGAAATGAGACAAGATGTTTTCACTTAAATACACCACTAATTTCATGTAGATCTTGGTAGCCTTAATTTGCCCTAGGTGCATGTATTTGCTTTTGGAGATCATGATGTACAAGCAACTGAGACTATTTTGTGGAGTGGGGGGAGAAGAAGGGTGGTAGAACGAGAGAGAGAGAGTCAGCCCTACAAGGTAGACTAGATGTTTCTCATATATTTCTCATATATATGTTTCTCGTAGTTTCTCAACCATGGCAATTTGAAGACTTCAACTTCCAGAATGCTGGCTGGGGAATTCTGGGAGTTGAAGTCCAAACATCTTCAAGTTGCTAAGGTTGAGAAACACTGCTTTATAATGAGAGAATCTTGCAAGTTTGCTTGTGTTTTTCTTCCCCTCCCTCTTATACCCCTGGGAGTCAGGGATCAACCAACCTGAGCCTCTTCCTAATACTATCTCCCTTCCAGGACTTAAGGCATGCTTCTGCCCTTGTGTGTTTCTGTAACAGCTTCTCAATATTCCCTTTGGGGCAATCTCCATGGCTCTCTACAGATAGATAAGGTGGGGGGGGGTGTTGTGTCTTCAAGTCAGTCTTGACTCCTGGTGACTGCCTGGACAAGTCCCTGCAGTTTTCTTGGCAAGATTTTCACAAGTGGTTTGTCGGTCTTCCTCTTCCCAGGGCTGAGAGAGGGACTGGCGCAAAGTCCCCCAGCTGGCTTCATGCCTAAGGCGGGACTCGAACTCACGGTCTCCCAGTTTCCAGCCTGGTCTCTTTAGCCACTACACCAAACTAGCTTTGATAAATAGCTAGATAAATATTATTAATATGTGGCTGCGGCTGACCTGGTGAGCGCCACCTTTTGGAAGAAGAAAAGCAGTGAAATGATGAAAATAAGCTAGCATTTGCCGAAGCCCAGCATCTAGGAGGCACCATAAGCAGGTCAAAAGGAGGGGAAGGGGTGAGCTCTTCCCACGTTGAGCCTGCTCTCCCCCAGCACACAAGAACGCCCCTTTCTTCTCTCTGCTGGATGCTGTTCATCATGACTGCCTGCTGATCCATCATGATACCTCCTGCCCAACCCCTTTTCTCCCCTGGCTATTGGAAGCAGCCCCCTCCTGCTCCCCTCCTCAGCTGATCCACAAGACAATGGTCCAACGGAGACCAGGATACAAGCCCTGTATGGTTGTACTGCAAAGGAAGACTGGCAGCCTCCCACCCAAGATGCCCTCTTAGCCCAACCGCTCTTCAGAGCAAAAGCTCCACGTTCCCCTCCTCTCTAATTATAGCTGCAGCCAATTTGCATGTTGTGTTCAGCTAACGAATTACCAGGAGTTTTCTGGGAGGAGTCTTTTATTTTAATTGGTTTGGAGTTCCTGAGAAGGAAACAACATTGGAAGCTGAACAGAGCTGGGAATAGAGAGCAATAAATATCTTAAAAGTGGAAGAACAGGAGGAGGAGGTGATGGTGGTGGCGGAGGAGGAGAAACCAGAAGCTGCAACAGAAATGGAGACCAGGACACAAGCCCTGTATGGTTGAACTGTAAAGGAAGACTGGTGACAGAGGTTTCTTTCTCAGGATTGCTGTGAGGAAAAAAGGGAGGAAGGAGAAGAGTTTTTAGATTGGACTAAATCAGTGTTTCTCAACCTCAGCAACTTTAAGCTGTGTGGACTTCAACTCCCAGAATTCAACTTTAAGCTGTGTGGACTCCAACTTCCAAAATTCAACTTTAAGCTGTGTGGACTTCAACTTCCAGAATTCAACTTTAAGCTGTGTGGACTCCAACTTCCAAAATTCAACTTTAAGCTGT